CTTGTCCCACCCTCACACCCTACTTGCACATCACTCATACTTACAAGGCACTACACTACGGCACATGTCGGAGACCAGTTGGGAGCTAAGGGCTTATCGTGGCTGGGGCAGTGCCCAGTGATATTCCGGAATGGGGGAAAATCCGTAAGCCCGAGAAGGTTGTCGCTGAATCTCACCTTTCAGCAGGGGATGAACACTGCCACTTGCCGTGATTAAAACATTCCACGCATACGGCACTAACGGCCTTAGCAGATGACGTACCGGGAAACATCAATCAATAATTTAACTTTACACATGGAGACAATTCCACCCAGATTATATAATATATCCTTAAATTCCTTTGTAAATTTACATTTACATTTTCCTCATCTAGAGTTGTGGAAAATATGGAATTATTTACTTTCGATATCGATTTTGAATATATATAACTTAAAGTGGAAAATATAAGAAGTACAAACTGATCTTCTTTGATGAGGTTTTACTCTAGATTTCTCCTTTACCACGTACCTACGTGTGTTCTACGCAATGGTGTATCTCGGTCCATTTTTCATTCCTTTTTGATCTTACAGAGAGTATATGAAGTTCCAGCACCCCATGTTAAAAGGAAAGTTTTCTTATGAAACACTAAAATTTAAACAAAAACCTGCAAAACCCTACTATTTAAAAATAAGTTTCACACTAATGGGTACAATGTCTTTAAACGTGGTCTTATGAACATGTTTACTAATATTATGAGTATAGATTATACATTATAATGTTTAACATACCGTATTATAAAATATAAAGTAGTTTAATATCATTTTGATAATGAAAAATATTTAAATGAATGATCGTTAAACACTATACGAAAGGTACGTGTGTCAGTTAGTGAATCGTCAGAACAAGGAACTACAGTTTTTAGCTTGAAGGTACCATGTAATTGAAGATGCTGCATGGAAGACAGTTTTCACATCAGAGTCCGTTTCACAATGAGGTTAAGAGTTTCAAAGAAAATGGTGCACAATTAAAAACTACATGGAGCAATTTCATTAAGTTGCAAATCAAGGACCGTAAGCTGATAAATGTAAAAGGAATTGCAGTCTTATTCAAAATGATTTCAATAAAGAATAAGAATAATTTCGTCGAGGTGACTATAAGGAATAGGCTGAGATTGCCCTTTGAAAATTTATTAGAAGAAACCCCATTCCGAAAAGTTTGCTGAAAAAACAAAGCCAGGTGGATGTCTACAATACAATACCCTCGACAAAGATGTGTATTTTTAATAAACAACTAGAATATGTTAACGATAAAATACGATCAAAAATGTTTGCACATTGTTTCAATTTTTGTCAAGGTATGATGTTTGTAATAAAGTTTTTGTTAAGGTTGGTTGCCATAAAACCTGCAAATAATCTTAAAACGCTTTGAGAGGCCTTAAACAAGTACGAAAACAATGACCCTGTGATTGTCCAACCTGCCCTTACAACTTTCAATGGACATTTATGTTATTTGATGATACAAGGTGTTAATGTTACAAGGTGATGTAACATTTCCTTTATTAACAGAAGAAAATTGAAGCATCATCATTGCAGCATAATGAAATACAACGATAATGAAAAATTACCTCCTATTGATGTCTCCGTTTTAAATCAAACTGGGTCAACTGTTTGGACCAAAGTCTTGGTCGATTTTTCATTAGTTGAAGGAATATGGAAGATTTCGAGTACGAACAAATGAAAACTTTTATCTTAAGAGCTCTCAAGTGGTGTATGATACAGCTTAATGAGGAGTCATACAAATGAATGATAATAAAAAATTAAGAACAAAGAAGCCATTTTTCTTTCTCACTCTTAAGAAGTAAGAAGAAAAACAATTGTAATCGTGCGTCGGAAAACGGCGAATTTTCGACACAAAAACCCTTATTGCCGGGCCCTGATTACGAAAAAGTTGATAAATCCAGTTGCTAAATACAGAAAAAGATTCCTCTAACACGTGGTGGAGCCAAAATCCATGCTTTGTGCATCCTTCGTACCGAAAAATCGATTGACGGCCAAACGTCTGTCTTTCCGTTCGCCTGTGCACAACGTAAGCGCATAAACAGCATAAACCGATTTTCTCCAAAATTAATATTCCGTAATCGTTCTGGCTGGTGTCACGTCTTTACATAAAGAGCTTCGAACATTTTTAAAATTAAAAGAAAATGGCTCCAATTTTTTAATTAAATTTTGTTAAAGAGAAGTGCGAAGGACGTTTAAGAGAATAACTTTTCACTAGTGGACTATGCACTAGTGCAACTTTAAAAAATGATTGGGCAAACTTTCTTGTAAAACTGGTGGGCTGAAACTCTTCTTACTCTCTATGGGAGTCAAAAGAGGCAAGAAAACTCACGAGGAATGATGGTTTTAACATTTTTGTTTTTGTGCGGACACACTAATTAATCTCATCAGTTAACTATTCATGAATCAGGCTTTAATAATTTGAAACTTTAAAAAATTATCGAAAAATTGAGAAAATGTGAAAAAAATACAAGTTTTGAACATGAATGAATGAATGAAACCAAAACCTGTCTTCTGAGACGTTCTTTAAATATTATCTTCTGAATCTTTTACAGAAAGTTAAGTTGATTTTGAAAATAATCATTTATGTGTTTAAAGCTAAATAAACTTCAAAATATTGTTGCTACAGCAACGAATGCTGTTGTAGAATAAATAGATTCAGTGTTACTGAGCACATTACTGTCCAAGTAAGCAAGAAAAAATATATTTTCCTTAAAATGTGGGTCTTTGAAAATTCCTGATAATAAACATGTTTGCTTCAAGAAGTTTCAATAAGCTCAAACAATAGCTGAACTTAAAAAAAACATTATTTGCAATAATGCAATAAATGTACATATATTATAATATTATTAAATAATTTTTACAAATCGTATGAGAAAGTGAAACATGTTGAAACTCCACTAACAATGCATTTCATTCTAGGTTTAATAAAATGCTCATTCAAAACAGATGTTCGAAATATGATGTTTTACTACGTAAATTACTTTAAGGAATATATTTTAGAATATTGTCTAGCAATGTCAGTTTTAGCACATTTCTACATTTTAGAGACAATCTCTAGAACAAATATTTCACGTGAAGTTCTGAGTGTTTATCGCGCTCAAATCAAGTTCGACACAATCTTTGTAACTGATTTCAGCGAGATAATTTTATCAAAGATAATAAACCGGTGCAACACAAAATAGGTCGTAGGAAGTTGAGAGCACACATGGGTAAGGAACAATAATTATTCTAATGTAACGTAGTTTTCACATATAAAAAATTACATATACGAATGAAAAATTTCGATTTTTGTATCCGTACCATGGGAAGGTCTGCATCTGCTGCTTCTTCTACTGCACAGCAATAACGTTCACTTTCGCACTTTCCTATAACGCTAGGAAAACATGCCATTTCTCAAGCCAGAGAACGACCGTCCAGGCCGAACTCATATTGCACTCTGAACGGTGCCTAGCACCGCTTTCGATCTGGATGCTCACAAACCTCTCAGCGTCCGTTGCGTGAGGAAACTGAAAGGATACGAAACATGCAAAATGCGGTCGGCAGTCAGCAATGTATTTCGGGCTCAATCTCACTTCACAGTGTACAGAAATCTCAAAGAGCAGGTACGAATCCATTCAAACTCCCTCTTGGAGAGATGCGGAATCAGTGACTCAGTTTCGTCAGAGGACAGAGGAGACGATACGTGTAGCCAGATGAGAGAGCAGGCGAGCGCAGATGCCATGGTACATGACTGATGGAGTACCGAATTCCTTTTACGTTTCCTCCAATCTAAGAGGAAAAGTATTGGATTCGATCCAAAAATTCGAGGTCCATTTGTGTGGCAAAATATAATTCCTATTGAGGATACTTGAAATGACACAAATGGTTTTTACTTTCCCATACGTACGTATATACGGATTTACAACGAAACTCCTGTCCATCTGACTCGAGTCGAAACTTTGAGATTTTGAAAAACATTCTTCAAAATTTGGGGATACTGCACATGAAGCCCCCCGGCTATTTTCAAAATGTTCTCAAAAAACGCTCTAATTTTTTTCTTTAAATTTCTTGTAAGAATAGAGTAAAATATACATAAATGTGGCGTAGGTCAGATTTTCACAGATTTTTCAGATTTTGTTTCGGTGTCTTTCTACAAACATAAAATTGAATATAGAGGTTTTCGTTGAAACAAAATTTGTTCTCCATAGTAAGTTCTTTCTTTAAGGTTCTGTACATTTTTTTGAACATTTAGTAGTTTTAGCGCAATACTGCGTGCTACATGTACAATTTTAAAAAAGTACAAAAACAAGATTTTCTGAAAAATGGCTCCAAATTTTTCTTTAAACTTTTGGTAGGGCTAGTGCTAAAGGTACTTTATAAGATGACATAAACGCCATATTGCTCTTCTCTATTTTTTATTACAAAAATGTAATTTTGTTGACTTGTCTCTCATGTCCTTAATATTTATATTATCGGCAGTTTGTTCACATTATATTTATGGGGTCATGTGCTATAAATAATGTCAGATAAAGTTTCTCGAAAACTCTTCCGTTTTCTGTAAAAACTAGCTCAAAATTCCGCATTTTCAGAAACGCTCAAACGTTATTTTCTCAAAAACTGCTCCAATTTGTTTTTCAAACATTTCGAAAGGATAGTGCTAATCGAACTCTTTAATATGACGTAAAATTAATTTCAGTATATTTTTTTGTTTGTTCAAAAATTACACAAATATAAATATTTTGAAAGGTCTCTCACGCCGTTGATAGACATTTTCAGCTATTTGTAAACACAATTGTACTTGTGAGTTAAATTACTTAAATGACTTATGAAGGTTTTCGAAAACTCAAAACATTCTTCTTCTTCTTGGTTTTCTTTTTCTTCCTCTTCTTCTTCTTCTTCTTCTTCTTCTAATAATAATAATAATAATTATTATTATTATTATTATTATTATTATTATTATTATTATTTAGTAGGTATGAGACAATGGTTTCCACCAAGGTAAGCCACGTATCCTATTCACATAAATATCGATGAAAGCATCCCGTATGGGAAGGCTTTGCAAGCCTCGACCAAAAATAAATTTCTGGAACTGGTGGATTAAATTACAAAAGAATTATCAAACTATTAATAAAGAAGTATAGTATATTGTCTCTAATGGTCTCAGTGGCTCCCATGCATGCGTCAGGGCAAAGAAATGTATGTATTAAATGAGCATCTTACACAAATTTCCTATAGTATGTGTTCTGGACACTCAGGCGCGGATCCACGGGAAGGGAAAATAGGGAAATTTCACTCCCTAAGATGTTTCAGCAACTATTAACTTTAACTTGTTAGGAAACTTTCAAACAAAATATTTTCGGATAATCATTAAAACGAATAAAATCTTATCGCAGCATGAGCTGAGTGTAGCCTGAGACATTTTACAAAATCTGCAATATGACACATTCGACATGACACATTTTGAAGTTCCCCTTCCAAAATTTGTCTCTGGTTCCGCCTCTGGGACACACCTATGACGTTCCTTCCTATGCGCATGCTGAAGCGAAGTGTAATTCACGTAGAAGGGAGTGTCGCGTTGAAGGAACTGAGTGACCGGAAGTGAAGAGGTTAGAGATGGAAGAAGTAATTATTTACAAAATCATAGTAGTTGTGATTTAAAGTTTAATCTCATTTTTGCCCAACTGTCACCAAAAATCTACAGAATGAAGGCTCATGGGTGAGATGGAGAGAGATGAGACAGAGAGAGCGCAATAGAAGGTAATGAAAGAAGGAATGTCAAGCTGCATTTGTGATGGCGTCAACTGCTTAGAACAGCTTTATACCACAGCTTCCAACTCTCCGACGGTCATCGTCCTGCGTGACGGTGGTGTTGCTGGCGAGTACTTAGCGGTCTGGCTATACTGCCTATATCGGTGGTTTGAGTGTCCCATTTTTAACATCGGCGGAAAACAGCCAAAGATGTCGAAAAATGTTCAAAAATGTCCGTAAAAAATACAGCCACCGGCTCCAACTTAGAGTCGATCCCATTTACAACGGCCCGAAAATACGGTTCAAAAATTGACTCAATTTAAGTTAAAAATTAATTCTCGTATTAAATACAATAGCATGAAAAGCTAATTAATTTTATACATGGTGGTGAAAGAAGATAAGTTAAAAATCAATAACAATAAAAAAAATGAAGTTCTCCATAGATTCGTGCCTAGGCTGGGCCCGTCCTTTATATCCAAAAACCAGTTTAGGGGGGAACATGCAACAGAAAATGCAAAAATTATTATTACTAGTTTATATTGACGTGTTTATGATGCATGTATTCTTTTGCACTGTAGAATGTGTGGTTTAACAGGAAAGCTTTCAGTTTATTTTTGAAGTATTGTATTTCTAGGCCAATGACCCCATCTCGATCAGGTTTTGTTCAGTTTCCCTGATACTTTGA